AAGAACATGCTTTCCAAATACTTAAACATCAACTCACACACGCACCACTACTTGTATTGCCATGCTTTGACAAGATGTTTGAAATAGAGTGTGATGCATTTGGGGTGGGTATTGGAGCTGTCCTAATGCAAGAGGGCAAACCAATTGCACACTTTAGTGAAAAACTCAATGGGGTAGCTTTGAACTATTCCACTTATGATAAGGAGTTGTACTCCTTAATCCGTACTTTAGAAACTTGGCAACATTATTTGAGACCAAGGGAATTTGTCATACACACTGACCATGAGTCGCTTAAGCACATTAAGTCACAACACAAGTTGAATAAGCGTTATGTTAGGTGGATTGCATTTATTGAAACCTTCCCTTATGTGATTAAGTACAAAGTGGGAAAAACTAATGTTGTTGCTGATGCATTATAACGCCGATACTCTTTGCTCACTCAACTTGATGCAAGGTTGTTAGGATTTGATTTAGTTAAAGAATTATACATCAATGGCCCAGATTTCTCAGGTATTTATGACTCTTGTGGTTTAGAAACTCAAGGTAAATTCTACATCCTTGATGGATTTCTTTTCTACCTCAATTGACTGTGTATATCTAACTGCTCTATTCACTCTTTACTTGTTAGGGAAGCACACGGAGGTGGCTTGATGGGACACTTTGGCGTGGCTAAAACCTTAGCTATCGTTCAAGAGCACTTCCATTGGCCAAGGATGAAGCGAGGTGTGGAACGAATGGTGGCTAAATGCATCACTTGCCACAAAGCTAAGTCTAAACTTCAATCCTATGGCCTTTATAGTTCTTTATCTGTACCTAAGGAATCTTGGACCGATATTTCCATAGATTTTGTTTTAGGGTTGCCTAGGTCAAAGAGGGGAAATGATAGCATCTTTGTTGTTGTTGACAGATTTTCAAAAATGGCACATTTTATACCATGTCACAAAACAGATGATGCATCGCACATTACTGATTTGTTTTTCAAAGAAATCATTAGATTGCATGGCATGCCTAGGACAATTGTCTTTGATAGGGATGTCAAATTTTTGAATTACTTTTGAAAAACTTTGTGGGAAAAATTGGGTACCAAATTGCTATTTTCTACTACTCATCACCCACAAACTGATGGCCAAACTGAGGTTGTCAATCGCACACTATCTGCACTCTTGCGTGCCATCATTGGAAAAAATATTAGAACCTAGGAAGAGTGTTTACCCCATGTTGAGTTTACATACAATCGCACGGTGTATAGTTCTACTCATTTTTCACCATTTGAAATAGTCTATGGTTTTAATCCCTTAACACCGCTAAATTTATTACCTTTACCTTCTTCTGAGCACATTAACATAGATGGTGCTAAACGAGCAGATTTTGTCAAGAAATTACACGAACAGGTACGCCTAAACATTGAGCGAAGGATGGACCAAGTTGCTCAACGGGTTAACAAGGGATGCCAACGCGTCGTGTTTGAACCTGGTGACTGGGTGTGGTTACATCTACGCAAGGAAAGGTTCCCAGTCCAAAGGCGCAATAAATTATTTTCTCGAGGAGATGGGCCATTTCAAGTCATCAAACGCATCAATGATAATGCTTACAAACTGGACCTACCCGGTGAGTACAATGTGAGCGCTACATTCAATGTCTCTGATCTATCTCCTTTTCTTGCAAACGATGAAGCTGATTTGAGGACAAATCCTTTTCAAGACGAGGGGGATGATACGAACCAAGAAACACCATTGAGAACTATTCGAGTTCCCCTAGAACCCGTGACTCGAGCACGAGCTAAGAAGATGAGGAAGGAACTCCAAGGGCTTGTTCGTGAGATACAAAGCCAAGAAATTGTCCCCAAGGTCATTGAGGGACTTGAGCATAAAGGAATGAAGGTCATCCATATAGTGCACGTCAAAGAGAACCATGTGTGACCCTTCCCTAGTCACATTTACTGTTTTAGTTAAGTCATTGTAATAAGGGTTTAATGGTCCATAGCCTTGCTTTATTTACCTAAGGGATGACCTCATAAGCTTCGGTCAATCCCACAATTCTTAGTCTTATGGAAATAGTCAAGCCTATAATTCTTAGACTTAGTCAAACCCACAATTCTAGACTAGTTCCACATTATTTAGTTTTTCATCTCTATGTAAGGTTATAAATAGCCCACACTTCCAACGATTTTAGGCATTTAATCAATAAATCAGATTTTGAGAGTTTTCTTGGTTTCTCCAAGGCTTCTTGAATACCTTAGAATTTCTCTAGGTATTCGTGACTTATTAATCTAGAATCACACTAGGTTGTGGCGTCTTCTACCATTATACCAAGATTCGTTAACCACGTGATTAACGGGTTGACGTCATCCGCTCCAAACTTGGTGTACTCTTGTCAATCCTGAATCTAATCTTTTACAGGTTTAGTCACAAGGTTAGCGAGGTTCGTATCAATATCTTTTCATTCAAAAAATAAATAGAACTTATGATTTAATTAAGTTAAAATTATTAGGTATGAAAATGACTATTTATTTTTAAATCAAATTAATATAAAAGATGAAGTATATTATATGAGAAATATGGAAAAGATGTGAAAGTCATTAAAAAGAAAGAAAAGAGAAACAGAAAACCGTTAGATAGAGAATATCAGGTTGTTTAATTAGATAAGAATTTTGAACATAAATAACAAACAAGGGTAGATTTGGTAGACAAGATAAAGTAGTTGAAGTAATTCTATTGATTCTTATCAAAATTAAGCATTCAGTTAGAATTTTTGTGCTGAAAAAATTACACACAAGTTCAGCACTACTTAACAAATTCAGCAGATGGATTTTATTTATCAAACATTCAAAATATCTGAATGTCTGAAAAGATTTAGTTTCAACACTTTTGTATGTTATCAAACAGATCCTTAGTATTATACAAGTGTACAATCTTCCTTGTTAACAAGAGGTTATAAGCGATAGTGTGTAATAGTCAATTATTATTTGCTCAGGCGCTCAAGGGGATTTTCAAGAGGAACTCGAAGCGAACGCCTAAAAGTTGTTTGAGCACTTACTCCCTATTTTGATTGGCGAGTGTCAAGTGCATAATTTGTTACAATTATGTGAATTGTTTCTTATGGACTGAATGGTTTATGATTGTTGAGTCGAGTGTGTACTTTATCGCACTCGTTCTCTTCTAACTGATTGAACAACTGAATTGAACTGCTTGTAACTGAATTGTAACTGAACTCCTTGCATGTTGTTGGAGTGAATCTCCTCGACTTATAACTGAACTGTAGGGACGCCCAAATCTAAATTGGCCGACCTTGCGACTCGAGCCACCAAGGGCTTGGTCGAGAAGTTTGGTGAACCATGAGATAACTGTAAACTTGATCTATTGAGAGATCTTACTTGGCCTACTCGCTTTGTAGTGCCTTTTATTGATGTTCAGGCCTGGTGCGGTGTAGGGTGGACGGAATTGACGTTAAGTGGAATTCTACGGACTTAAATGCCAACCCGGTTGACGGAGTGTCATCGCAGGAAAGTATTCGATTGAGGCTTGGAGAAACAAGTGGAACTTAGGTCCTGAGAGCTCCTGTATTCTCATTGAATGTGTTTAATTGAAAATTGTGAATTGCTTGAATGTTACAGCTTTAATTCCTGCTTAAATACCATTGCTACTTGAACTATGTGTTTTGCATGTTTTCTTGGCCTCACGAGCATCCGCTCACCCCGTTAGATTTGTTTTCCTTAACGGGAGTTGTGTGACAGCCCCACCTTCCCCTAGAACGAACCAAAGGGGTTAGCGGACTGCCTGCCCAACTCTCGCCAGGACTACGAAACTTATCACACTCTAAATACATATTCACATCGATATAATAGCGTTCGAACACTGCAACGGTCGCAAAAATTGAAAAATGAAGACGAAGCTGCGGATGAATAGTGTCGGCCACGTCACTATTCTGCCAGAATCTGGCCGGATTGCTCGGGCTGGATTCTGGCCAGAGGCCAAAACCTCAAATTTTTTTCCATTTCCCCTGCATATCCGGCCTCGTATCCGGCCAGACCTTGGCCGGATTCTTGGCCGGATTTGGTGAACAGTGACTTCACCAAAACTTTTCTTTCCTCGCTCGATTCCCGTACTCGCACAAATCCAAACTAAACACAAGTAACATAAATCCACCAATATAGCAAGTACGTACCAAAGCAATATATAACATATACAAGTAAGGAAACACTTTTATACATCCCTGCATTCCAAGTTTTACAACTCAAATGGGATCATAGAATCCAAATACATTTAGGATTTTTCATAATCGAGGAGCTATACAAACAAAAGAATGTCAAACTAGCTCAACTCGCCTCAAAACATTGTTCCAAAAGTTCTTCCTGTAAGGAAAACAAAAGTAACGTGGGTGAACTTATGCTCGTGAGGTACCACGAAGACACATAAGTATAAACATACTTTACTATAATTAACCAAGGCACATAAGATAGTAAACCAATATGAAAGGATACAATTGGCTCTCAAGAGCCACTTTCCACTTGCCGCACTTGATCTCATATTCGTTGACACTCCGTCAACCTTTGAAGAAAGGGACAAGACCGTAGATCCCACTATACACCACATTCCTTCCACCAAACATTCCCCTTGTCGGACTCGAACACCTCACAGTAACAGAGGGGCGATACTCGAGTATACCACAGGGTCGAGGGAACAACATTCCACTCGACTAACAGTAACCCCACATTTGGTTATCGAATCGCCCAGGCCCTTGCCGGCTCGACTCGAATAACAACCAATGGGGTATAAGCTCAGATATGACAGTTAAGTCGTTGGTCATAGTCCCAAACGACGCTAAATCATGCACAAATACAGTTTCACAGATAAATAGAAACAGTCGTACAGATAAGAGGACGAGAGCGATGAAGTATACTCTCGTCCCAGTCAGGTCAACCAAGTTCACATAACAAGGACAAACAATTATTTAAGCAATAAACCATATAAGGGTACACTCACCGAGTCAAATAAGCAAGTTCACAAGTTTGCTTCAGACGTAGGCCCCGGATCACTGGCACGACCTATAATAAGCAAGAAACCACCATTGAGACTCGAACACAAGTCAAACTACTATAATGAGTTACTAGTATAATATAACTAAAAGTAAAATGGAGTGACAGTGGGTGTTAGGTATGAACAACCTCAAAACCTCTTCAATTCTACCCAAAATCACTCCCAACTCAAGATTACTAAATCTCCCTAACATTGGACAGCATTTCCCCTTTAATTTCACATGTCCAACCTATCATTCATCATCAATGTTCACACAAAACGATCATGAAAGTAAACACAGTTGGTATGCTAGTCAATACACCTTACTAGGGTCACAATGTCCTTAAATTTCAACCAATTATAAACTTATGAGCAAACCATAGAAAAGCCCCAAATATATAAAACCCTAAAACTGGAATTTTTCGCTAAAAGCTGAAATTTCCGCAACAAACCACCATTGACATATAGAGGCCCTATATTGCTTAGGGTAAAAAATAAAAAAGCCCCCTGTGATAAACCTAATACACAAAAAAGGCCCCTGTGTCCAATTTTTCTGTGTATTAGGTTTATCACAGGGGGCTTTTTTGTTTTTAACCCTATTGCTTAATATAAGGCTATCATTCCATGGCTAACTATAATATACTATATAAAACAGAAAAATCCTCAATAAATAGGAAAATTGGACAACTCAACCATAATTCATGAAATAATCCACAAGATGACATGCTTCACCAATAAAATCTCTTAATTGATCATTATTATCATCAAAGAGGAGATGTCATGACAACTCACCTTATCAACTACAAGAAGCAAGGTAGCTAGTGATTCTTCTTCACAAATGGCTCCACCAAGGACCTTAAACTAGCTTATCAACTTACTTTTGTGGAGGAATTTGGAATTGAATGGTAGGTTTGCAAGATTGGAGCAAGAAATGAAGAACAAAAGTTGGAAACTCTTCTCTCTTTTCTCTCTATGATGCATGGCTAAGAGTGAAAAATGGAGATGATTTTGTGGGTCAAAATTGATTTAGGGAAGGTAATATAACCCTAGTCAAAGTCCAACATCTAATGGGAGAGCGACAAGTGGCAATTCTTGTGTTTTTCTCATCCTACTACTTACCAAGGGTTACTTATCTAGATAACCTCCAATTAGCTCATAATACCATGTAATATAATCTCTATATACAAAACTTCTCCAAATTACCCACATTTATCGCACTTATCGCCCTAGTGGGTCCCACCTCCACCGTACACCACCATTACCACAGAAAATAACTTATTTTGGAAAAAAAATGATTTAAAAGTAAATGCCTAGAAAAATAAGAAAAAATTTCAGAATCTTGCACTCTCTCCCCCTTAAAGAATTTCGTCCTCGAAATTTCTCACCTGGGTTATAAAAAAGCTCAGGGTATTTCTTTTGCATCTCCTCCTCCATCTCCCAGGTCGCTTCTTCTACCCTGTGGTTCTTCCACAGGATTTTCACTAATGGAATCTGTTTATTTCTCAGCTCCTTAGCCTTTCGATCCAGTAAACGCACAGGTTTCTCCTCATAGGTAAGGGCTTCATCCACCTCAATCTGCTCCGGTTGCACAATATGTGTTGGGTCAGGATAGTACTTTTTAAGCATCGACACATGAAAGACGTCATGAATTCGGGATAAACTCGGTGGTAATTTGAGTCGGTACGCCACTTTCCCAACTCGTTGGAGAATCGTGAAAGGTCCTACGAATCTTGGTTGAAGTTTCTTTCCTTTACCCATTGTAACGCTTCGTAGTGGTGTAATTTTAAGGAAAACACGGTCTCCAATTTCAAACTCCAAATGTTTCCTTCGGTTGTCCGCGTAGCTCTTTTGGTGACTTTGAGCTGTTTGGAGTCTCTGACATATCAACTTAACCTTTTCTTGAGCATCCTCCATCCATGGAATGACTGTTGGGTCCAAGACCTTCTTTTCCCCTACTTCATCCCAATATATAGGTGAACGACACTTTCGTCCATAGAGAGTCTCAAACGGTGCCATTTGAATGGAGGAATGGTAACTGTTATTGTAGGTGAATTCTACTAAAGTCATATATTGGCCCCAATTACCCCCAAAGTCCAAGACACAAGTCCTTAACATATCCTCAAGGGTCTGAATCGTTCGCTCCGACTGTCCATCCGTCTGAGGGTGATAAGCGGTACTAAGGTTAAGTTTTGTCCCTAAGGTCTCTTGAAACTTTTGTCAAAACCTTGACACGCTTTTGCCAAAACCTTGATACGAAATGAGGATCTCGGTCGGAAACAATACTCACTGGGACCCCATGTAGCCTCACAATTTCTTCCATATATAACTGGGCCAACTTGTCCATGGAATACTTCATTTTCACAGGCAAGAAATGAACCGATTTGGTTAATCGATCATCGATCACCCAAACGGCATCATGACCCTTTTGTGTCCTTGGTAGTTCCGAAACAAAGTCCATCGTAATATTCTCCTACTTCCATTCAGGTATCTCAAGAGGTTGCAGTAATCCAGAAGGTTTTTGGTGTTCAGCCTTAACCTGCTGGCAGACTAGACAGGTTTGTACGTATTGAGCAATCTCCCTCTTCATTTGATCATACCAGTACAACCGTCGTAGGTCCTGATACATTTTTTACTACCTGGATGGATTGTGTATTTTGATCGATGGGCTTTCTCCAAAATCTATTTTTTCAAATCCTCATCCATAGGCACCACTATTCGATTTCTAAATCTCAAAATTTCCTCAGGACTTAAATTGAAATTAGGAATTTCTCCTTTCTGCACCTTTTTCACCCACTTTTGAACCATCGGATCCTCAGTTTGGGCCTCCTTGATTCTACCCAATAGAGCGGATGTTACTCGGATATTTCCAAAGGTTATCTTCTTACGTTCCAACCTAGGGTTCCACTCACCAACGGCTTCTAACATTTCCCACTCCTTAACTATTAACCCAGATATTTGAGCCTTCCGGTTTAGGGCATCAGCTATTACGTTAGCCTTACCCGGATGGTAGTTGATTGTGCAGTCATAATCCTCTAAGAATTCCATCCACCGACGTTGTCTCATATTCAACTCCTTTTGGGAAAAGAGGTACTTAAGACTCTTATGATCGAAATAAACCTAAAAAATTACCCCATACAGGTAGTGTCTCCACTTTTTCAGAGCAAAGACAACTGCGGCTAGCTCCAAGTCATGAGTGGGATAGTTTTGCTCGTGGGTCTTCAATTTCCTAGAGGCAAAGGCTATTACATTCTTATTTTGCATCAATACACACCTCAAACCTTCCCTCGAGGCATCAGTGTAAACAGTGAAATTGTCCTTACCATTAGGCAAGGCCAGAATAGGGGCCATGGTTAACCTTTTCTTCAATTCCTAAAAACTTTTCTCACACCGGGCATCCCACAGAAACCGATCATTTTTCTTTGTCAAATCGGTTAAAGGACTGGCAAGTTTTGAGAAATCTTTAAAAAACCGACGGTAGTAACCTGCCAACCCTAAGAAGTTTCGAATCTCGGTGGGACTTTCAGGTCTCTTCCACTCAGTCACCGCCTCCACCTTCGCCGGGTCTACAGCAATCCCCTCTTTCGAAATCACATGCCCCAAGAAAGAAACCTTCTCCAGCCAAAACTCACACTTACTAAATTTGGCATATAACCGATGATCTCTCAGAGTTTGCAAGACCACTTTTAGGTGTCGTACATGCTCCTTTCGGGTTTTTGAGTAGACTAAAATGTCATTGATAAGCACAACGACGAATCGGTCTAGGTAGGGTTTGAAAACCTGATACATTAAGTCCATAAAGGCAGCAGGGGTATTGGTCAGTCCAAAGGGCATAACAGCAAATTTGAAATGCCCGTACCTAGAATTGAAAGCAGTTTTAGACACATCTTCCTTTCGGATCAACAATTGGTAGTACCCCTGTCGGAGATCTAGCTTGAAAAAGACCACTGCACTTTGTAACTGGTCAAACAACTCATCAATATGGGGTAGTGGATATTTATTCTTAATGGTCATGTTATTCAATCCCCAGTAGTCTATACACAACCTCAAGATCCCGTCCTTCTTTTCGACAAAGAGAACGGGTGCCCCCTAAGGAGATCCACTCTCACGAATAAACTCTCGCTCTAACAGGTCTTGTAAATGCAATTTCAACTCCTTGAGTTCAGCAGGTACCATTCGATATGGGGTCTTAAAGATAGGTGACGTCCCCGGTAATGCTATCTCTCTTTCCGAAGGTAAATCTACTAATTCGTCAGAGAACACATCCGGATATTCACCCACTACTGACACATCTTCTATCTTCAACTTATCGGTGAGAGTGTTAATAAGGAAAGTTAGGAACCCTTGTGCCCCTTTACTTAGTAGTTTCCTAACTCGAATACCTGAAATCAATGCGGAGGAGGCTAAACTACCCCTCACATCTAACCTTAAGGTCGCCTCCCCCACTATACGAAATTTCGCTACTTTCCTCTTAAAGTCAAGTTGGGCATCATACCTAACTAGCCAGTCCATGCCCAATATCACATCATATCCCTTAATAGTCAAACTTATCAAATTCCCCAATAACTTTCTCTCTCCTACCCAGATTTCACAGTTTGCATATATTTTACTAGCAATCAAACACTGGTTCCCCGTAGGAGTACTCACTTCCAATTCATAGGGCAGGTGAACAGGGGTTATATCAATTCCACACATGAATTCGGGGTTAACAAACGAATGGGTGGTACCGGGGTCTATTAAAATCCTAACTAGACGGTGGAAGATAGGAATCGTACCTTCCACCACCTCTGCAGAATCTGGGACCGGACGTTGCTCGAGTGAGTACACCCGAGCAAGCACCTTCGATTTTGTCCTTTCCACCATCGACTGCCCCGAATTAGCCTTCGACGAGTGTGTAGTTCCTCTCGCCTCTCGAGGTTAGACAGGACAGTTGGCTATCTGATGCTCCGCACTCCTACAGCGTAAGCATTTCCTCTCCTTCCTCCAACAATTTTCCTCCGTTTGGTTGGGCTTGCCACAGAATCCACACGGCCGACGAGATACAGTAGCGGAACTCCCCTATGAGGCACCCTCTATTGGCCTCGTCTAGTTTGACCACCTCTTGACGGAGTCCCTCTCACCGTTCCTGGTAGCCTTCCTCCTCCGGCTCCCCTTCCAAACTTGGGAGGGGTACTCCTATCTCCCTGGGTAGAGCTACTTTCAGGGAATCTCCATTTTCTTACTTGGAAGTTCCGAACTTGAAGCCTTGCGTTCTCAGCTCGTAAAGCTTTATCCACTACGTCACTGAAAGTGTTAATCTGGGTCACGGCTAAATCTTTTTGGATTTCCACATTTAACCCCTGAATAAATCGTCGCACCCTTCTTTGTTCAGTCATAATGAGTTCAGGGGCAAATTTGGCTAATCGGGTAAACTGGCTCTCGTATTCAGCCACAGATTGGGTTCCTTGACGAAGTTGAATAAACTCGTCCTCCTTCTTTTCCTAGATCAAAGGCAAAAAATACTTTGCGTTGAACTCCCTCATGAAGTTCACCCATGTTCTCGGCGTTTGTTCTCTTTCCCACTTTATTCGAATCACAATCCACCAAGAACGGGCGTGTGACGACCCTGCTTCTCCCAAGGGCGAACCCAAGGGTATCGGCGGGCCGCCTGCCTGGCTCGCGCCAGGACTCAAAACTTAAAGCAATAAAAGCTAGGTAAACCAAAAGAGTTCTATATACAATATATATACAAGTCCAAAAAAGTTCTAATTACATCCTCCAAAATAGATATTCAGATTACTACATCACCAAATGCTAATCACCAAGTATATAAAGTAGACCCGATAAAAGGGTTTTATACAGGCCACCAAAACAAGAAATGACTTAAACGTCCAACTAAGACATGCACACTTAACTATACTAGTGTATGTGCCAAAGAGTTCCCCGTGTCGGACCTTGCTAAGGAAAATAAAGGAAAAGGAGTAAGCTATATGCTTAGTAAGTAACAGGAGTAAAAACGTAAATTGCACATAAATACGAACAATTACGCCGCAAAATGTCAAAATAAAAGTACAAAACAACAACACAAATGAAGGATACAGGTTGGCTCCAAAGCCAAATCGTATGCCACGTGTGATCTCCTGTCGACACTCCGTCGACCACAAATAATGGTCCGTAGAACTCCACTTGTACCCCCACCGTATGTAGACACCAAATTTTTAAATAATTTGTATGTTGCATCTAATTCATGATTTTTGTTTTAGATTGTCTGCATTTTAGTTGTTACCTTTTTTATTTGTCTTTTATTTGCTAATTATTTGTCATATTAATTTTGTTCACGTTTTAGTTTTAGTTTTAGTTTTAAGTTTTAACGTAAAATTTATGAAAAAAAAAGAGAAGAAAAAAAAAAGAGGAAATTGATGAAAAATGGAAAATTGTGCTTTGTTGATTCTAGTTTATTTAGTTTCTATCCAATGTTAATTAAATTATTATTTTTTTTGTTGTTTTTGTTGTTTATTATCTATTTTTATTATCAGTTTTATTTAATTAATTTCAAAAAAAAAAAAATCAAAAAATCACAATTCCATTTCTGCCGGATCACATTTCCTTTCCCCTCTAAAACACTCAACCTCCCTCATCCGCGACTGGTCTTCCATTTTCAGCAACTCCAACATTCCACAACACCATTCCATTTCACTTCACCTCCTGCCTTGGTATCATCGACGAGAGGAAATCAGAGAGACAGCTGTGCGAGTTTCGGCCCTTGAACTGTCCGAGAGAGGGTGAGAGCAAGAGATAACCGTGCGAGCTTCATTACTTCCTCCATCACTCGAGAGCTGCCATTTCATTCTTCGCCTTCAACCAGCCGTGATCAATTCAATCACAATCACCACAGCTGCAATTACTGAACTCAGACCAACCATCCTCGCGCGCGTGAGCAAAGCCGAGAGTGAGTGTTCGAGGGAAAGAGCCGAGCTTTTATTTTCTTTTTTTTCCCTTTCTGTCGTAAGCTATAAAAAAAAAAGGAGAGACCTGCTATT